GTTTCAGGCCCAGCGCATACGTCACATTACACTGTATGCTGCCTCTTTCGCCCCCTTTAATTCTCCACCTCTCCCCTTTCCTTCCTCTTTCCCCTCCCCTTCCCCACCTCCTCCCCTTCCCATCCCCCTTCTGCCCTCCCCCTCTCCTTCCCTTTCTCTGGGTCACCACCTTCGCCAGCTGACAAATGTGGAGGATCCGTCCGTGACGACTATCATTTCAATATAATGTTCACTTATATGGATTTTTTTTTCTCTTACCTTTTTTAAGATAATCTTTCTTTACGTCTTGAGAGATCGCAATCGGTTCCTCTGCCGATCGCGTGTTGCCGCTTCTGTCTCTCCTTTCTTCTCGCTCCTCCCCCTCTCCGCCCTCCGCTGAGCCCTTCTTCCTACATCTTTCTCCTTACAGGCCTATTAGTGTATGCATTTTCCGGAAATACAAAAAAAAAAAAAAAGCAAATAGTTATGCGAGGAAAAGTACAAGTTGGATCAAAAGAAGATGGAAGATATTACGGTAATAGTAGCTATTCCACTTTACTGTCCCCTGCACAGTACGGGGATCGCAGCGTTGTTCGCCGTCTAGCTCCCTGTGCCGTGTACAGTGCCCTTATTTCCTTGTTTATTGGTAATAATATCATCTCTCAAAATGCTTCTTATTATAATTATCATCATCACTCTTATCATTATCATCATCATCATTATTATATTGTTATTATTACCATTACTATTACTCTCCTTCTTCTTTTTCTTCTTCTTCATATTATTATTATTATCATTGTTTTTATAATTATCAAATTTATTACTGTTGTGATTATTATGATGATGATTGTTATTATTATTATCATTATCATTATTATCATAGTTATTATTATTTTTGTCATCATCATCATCATTATTATCATCATCATTATCGTCATCATCATCAACATCATCATTACCATTCTCATTCGCATTGTCTTTATCATTATTATCATCACTATTATCAATATCATTATAAATATTATCATTATCGTTGTTATAATTACTATTATTATTTTTACTAGCATTAGCATTATCACTATTATTGTTATTATAATTATCGCTACCATTATTATAACTATTATCATCATTATCATTGTTATTGCTATCACTATTATCATTGTTACTATTATCATCATTATCATTATTGCCATTACTTTTATTATTATCATTATAAGCATTATTACTATTATTATTATCATGATTATTATCATTATTGGTATTACTATTGTTGTCATTATTATTGTTATTATCTCAATTACAATTATTACTATGTTTATCGTTATTATAATTATAGTTATCATTATCATCATCATTATTATTATTATTCATTATTATTATTACTACTACTACTACTACTCCTACTGCTACTATCATTATTATTATTATCATCTTTATTATCAACATTATCACCATCATCATTATTGTAATGACTATCATTGTCCTCATTTTCATTACTGTGAATATCATTATCATTAACATTTTTGTTGTAATTATCAGTGTTATTATTATATTATCATTATCACTATCATCATTATTGTTATTATTGCACTTACTGTTATTATTATTATTATTATCATTGTTATTGTCATTATTATTATTATTATTATATTATTACTATTGTTATTATCATTATTATTATTATCATTACCATTGTTGTCATTATTTTCACTATTATCATTATCAATGATAATATCATTATTGTCATTGTAGTTCTCATTATCATTATCGTTAATATGATCAGTATTGCTGTTATTGTTATCATTAATGTTAGTATCATTACCATTACTATTATCATCAAAATTATTATTATTGTTGTTATGATTACTATTTTCATCTTCATTATCATAATCATTGTTACTATTATTATTATCATCATTATCATTGTTCTCATTACCATTTCCATTATTATTATCATCAACGATTAACGTAGGACCCTCTCGCCCCCGCAACAGCTGTCAAACAAACCTGTTCGGGCTCTGACGTCGAGGATGGTTCCGAGGATGAGGACGACCCTCAGATGATGCTCAAGCGAAAGCAGAGGCGCTCAAGGACGACTTTCACTGCCCATCAGTTGGACGAACTCGAGAAGGCTTTCGAGAGGACACAGTATCCTGACATATACACGCGTGAAGAATTAGCGCAAAGAACTAAACTCACTGAGGCTCGGATCCAGGTAAGAGATAGATCGATATATATATATATATATATATATATATATATATATATATATATATATAATATATATATTTATATAGATAGATAGATAGATAGATAGATAGATAGATAGATAATAGATAGAGATAGATAGATAGAGATAGATAGATAGATAGATAGAGAGAGAGAGAGAGAGAGAGAGAGAAGAGATGGGTAAAGTAGACCCAGGGATATACCTCTTGATGGAAATGTAGTACAGAAAAGCTTCGCATTTGGCTACCTGTTCCACTTGGCTATCAGATTTTGCAGTTACCACAAATGGATTTAGGGGGCGTGTTCCTCTCCGCCAAATAGATATCGCCGCAAAAACGACAAGCGCGTCCTAAACGTGTTGATGGGGCAAAGACTCAACGGTTTTCTCAAAATGACAACCGCGTCCTAAGCGTGTTGATGGGGCAAAGACTCAACGGTTTTCTCAAAATGACAACCGCGTCCTAAGCGTGTTGATGGGGCAAGGACTCAACGGTTTTCTCAAAATGACAACCGCGTCCTAAACGTGTTGATGGGGCAAAGACTCAACGGCCCAATGGGCCTTCGAGCATGGGGTACTGACCGATGGAGTGCGATATCGAGAACTCAACTCGGAGAGGTTGAGAGCCACCGACCTGCATTTGAAGTATCTAAAAGATAATCTCCTCGTTATTCTGAAATAGAAATATAAGAAAAAAAAATATATATATATTTTGGTTGTCCTTTAAGTAAAAAACTGTTTTCAGTGCTAAACTATTTGCATTCGGTGAATAACTACTCACCAAATGCGAGGCTTTACTGTCCAGGAGGTAAGGAAGGGGAGCTATAAGCATAAAATATATGGGACCAATGATCAAGATTGCGTGCAGTCCAACTAAGAGTACAGAATACAGTCGCGGTCGGATCACCTCTTGCCGGTCCGGCGCCGCCATTTGCCTCCCCCGCTACACCCTCAACGCTCTCCCTCTCGGCCTCACCTCGCGTGCCTCTCCTCCCGACGCAGGTGTGGTTCAGCAACCGGCGGGCGAGGCTCAGGAAGCAGATGGCGTCCGGAAGTATCACAAATTTCAACGCGATGGGCCTCCCGATGTCTTATCCGTCGGCGCCGTCCTCGTACATGTTCCAAGGCTTCTCCGACCACGGCTCCAGCTTCTCCTCGCAGTCACAAGGTGGGCGGCCACGGTGTTCGTAGTGATAACAGTAATCATGAGGAAAATAACATCAAGAAGAATGATGTTTGCTTTTATTGTTGTTAGTGTATTATGATCATTACTAACATTAACACTATTCTTATGAACTGTTTTATTCATATCTAATACTGTTCATGTCTTTATCATCTTTTATTATCATTACTATCATTATCATGATCATTATGATTATGATTATTACTATTATCATGATCACTATCGCCACTTTTATTATCCTTATCATTAGGATTTTTAAAATAATTATCATTGTCGCTATCAGGATCATCATTATTATCATCGTTATTGTCATTAGCATTGCAACAGGAACAACGAAGGGAAGGACAAGAAAACACACGACATATTCGTGTGTTTTCTTGTCCTGTTGCAATCTGTTCGCCATGAATGCCACGCATGTGTTCTTCAAGGTAGTAGCAGCATACTCATTATTACTGCGACTACTGTGAACATGATTGTAATAGTAATCGTGATTGTTATTATGATAATGATTATTGTTATTAATGTTAATATTACTATTATTCTTATGGTAGTAATTATATTGATAGTAATAACAATAGGAGCAACAACAATGATAATAATGATAACATAATAGTTTTAATAACGATATTATCATTATCATTATCAGTACTATAATTAGTATTATGTCTATTATTACCATTATAATACAGTAGCGGTAGACGTATAATCATTATTTATTTTGTCATTATTATTATTATTATCATTATCACTTTTGTATCATCATCTTAGTATCATCGATTATTATTATTATTATTATCATTATTGTTATTATTATCAACGTTGATATTATTTTTATCCTCATCATTATCAATATTAATGTTATTATTGATATAATCATGAAAGTAAAAGTGATAATAATGAGGATTATAACAATGATAATAATGATAATAATAATGATAATAACAGTAATGATATTAATAACTATAACGATAACGATATTGGTAATGATAATGATGATAAAGATGATAATAATGATAATGATGATAAAGATGATAATAATGATAAATGTGATGTGATATGATAATGATAGTGATAATGATGATAATGATAAAAATAATTGATTGATGACATTAACAATAAAACATTGACGAATTGAGATTATGATCATAAAGTTCGGATACTGGTGACAGCTTCAGTGATGATAATAACAGTAATAACCATAAAATCTGCTGATAATAATTAATTTCACCACCATGGTTACCATGCATCAGTGTGATGAGTATTGTTCTCCTGTTGCAGACCCCAGCGGGCTGTACCAGGGGGGTACCGGAGGCCTTCACCAGGGTGCCTTGGCGACGGAGGCGCGGGCGGCCAACATGAGCGCCGCCGCCGCAGCCGCCGCCGCATCTTCGTACCCGTCCATGAGTGCCGCGCTTTCTTCGTGCACTAACTCTGCATTTATATCTTCTCAAGTAAGTTCAGCTTCGTTCTGATCCGTTGCCGTTTGGAGTATGTCTGCTGACCTGTTTTGTTTCCTTTTCTTTCGCTTTTCCTGCAGTGAGCGTTTCCCACGTCTCCTCCCCTCCTTTCGTCCGTTTCTCTCCCGGGCATTTGTTTGCTGTGCATCACAAG